AAGAGTGACCTTTCCAGAGACAAGAGCCTTGCACCTGGTGGTCTGTGAGCATCTCAAGGAAAGGGTATGTGTAAGCGTCTCTCTTTTCCCAGGGCTTGGTGTACTGTTTACAGTAGCATCAGTGGCATCAATACATGTCCAGGGAATGGAGGCAGGTCCAGGGGACAAAAGCCCAGCAAAAGTCCTGTGAGGAATGAAGGGTGGAGCCGGAAGCAGCCAGCTCAAATGGCCAAGAGGACACAGGCAAACAGGTGCCCCTGGAAACCCCATGGTCATGACCATCTGGCCTCAGGTGAGCCAAGCACAAGAGCGGCATCACCAGGTGGAGACTGGGGGACTCTTCCCTTCCCAATGCGATGATCGTCAGAAGCAAACTTCTAGCAAGGTATGAGTTCCCACCAGCTGTGGATGCCTTTGCAAGAATGAACACAGAAATAATACCCTAGTGGTTAAACAGAAGTCCTAAAATGTAAGCCTTACTTAAAAAAAAAAAAGTCTGTCACTTAGTCACATTTAGCCCTGCACACTGTCAGGAACAAAAGTTCATTCCTGGTCGTTTGGGAGACAAGACAGTTTCCCTTCTGAAGCCAGCACCTATATGAGCTAAATAAAACTATTCTTTAGAACAAAATGTGTTAGAAAGGCTTTCATTTCATGCCTGAAGTTGCAGAACTCAGCTCTGAGTCTGTCCTGTCCAGAAAACATGTGAAAAGAGAAACGTTTAACAAGTAACTTAAGGTGATTTTGCCACCCCTAGACCCTTGCCCCCTCTCTCTGACCACGAGTTTCCCTTCGCTCCTTGCAGAGGGAGGCTCTGGCCTGAAGGGGGCGCCAGAGCCCACACTTTGGGCTCAGGTCTAGTGAGAATGAGGATGACTTCCATCCCTTTACGGGAAATACACTATTATTTTCTCCCTTCATAGTTTCTTTTCTTTTTTTTTTTAATTGAAGTATAGTCAGTTTACAATGTTGTGTTAATATCTGGTGTACAGCATAGTAATTCAGTTATACATACATATATACATATTCCTTTTCATATTCTTTTTCACTATAGGCTATTACAAGGTATTGAATATAGTTCCCTGTGCTATACAGCAGGACCTTGTTGTTTATCTATTTTATATATAGAAGTTGGTATCTGCAAATCCCAGACTCCCAATTTATTCCTCCACTCCCCCTTCCTCCCTGGTAGCCATAGTTTGTTTTCTATGTCTATGAGTCTATTTCTGTTTTGTAAATAAGTTTATTTATATTTTCTTAAGGAAAAGATTGGGAGCTTTATATTTGAGTGCCAGTGGTTATAGAAATAAACCATATAAACATTATTGCCATGTTACTCTTTCAATAACAAACAAGGTACCTTCAATTTAACTCTGCACATTAACATAAAGGTTTTCTTAGAATCCATGTTTGTCTGTGGTTTCTATGGTCTAGCTGGACTCTGAAAACAATGAATGTGGAGGGCAGGTTTACTTCTTGATCATAAGAAGCAGCTCTGGTTTTAAATTAGGATTCATGATTAGATACCTGCTCAGTTTGAAAGCACTCAGGATGGAACGGGAGGTCTAGCAGACACGTCAACTGCTGTCCCACAGAGACTCGGACTCTTCCGCCTGGCATCCCTTGTTAATTTGGCCACATGAACAACATTTGTCAGGCACCTGCTAAATGGGCACCTGGAGGAGATGCAGAAAACACCAGGTACGGGGCATGCTGCCCTGCTTTTGATCCCGGCTCCGCAGCTGAGGATCACGTGGCCTTGGGAGAGTGGCTTATTCTCTGTAAACCTCCATTTCCTCATGATTAAATGCGAGTAAAACTTGTTCCAAGAATTTTGAAACTCACGTGGAACTCCTAGTTCAGTGCTTGGTATATGTATGAGCCATTAATAATCTGATTATAAAGGCTTACCCCACACCAGGGCCACTGGGAGTTGCAAGGATGAAGGAAACACTGGCTTCCCGGAGGCACAGTTTGGTACGGATACAGGTATTAAAATAACAGAAGAATAAGGATGTAGCATGTGCTGCCCTCAACCAGGAATATATATATGAAATAACTGAATTACTATGCTGTACACCAGAAATTAACACAGCATTGTATACTTCAATTAAAAAAAAAGTTAGAAGACCAGGGCTGGCCCGTGGCTTTGGCAGCTCCTGACAGAGATGGAGCAACAGGGATGGGACTGGCAGATGTCACATCTAGAACTAGCAGGGATGGTCACCTTTGTGGCCTGAGTCTTACC